ATAGAAACAAACTAAGAGGCTATGTCATTGGTATGCTTTTACTTTTTTGTAAGGTTTGTCATGGAATTCACGTTGTATGATCAATATTTATAATAATAATAAGTCCTCTATATATAACTTTGGTTTTCCTATATTTATCAGAATAAGGTTTTGTGGAGAATTTGGTAATTTATGAGTTGTATTCGTGAGTCAATTGAAGTGAGACCACCATCGAAAACTTGGATGCACTGGACGACCGTTCCGTCCTATTGTGCGACTCTTCACAATATTCAACGATGGTAATCTCTAGCTTCAACTAATCCACGAAATTGATTGACATATCCACCACTGTTATCAATGAGTTACTATCTCACAACAGACCCAAGTAAGCTCCACTGGTCACTGCTTCTCACTATAACTCCAGGAAATACCTCTTGAAGCCAGTCACTATTAGGCACATGTTGAATGATATTAGAAGTTTCTATGGATATAATAGTAATCTCAGTGGTTGAGATCATGAGTCAATTGAAGCTAGACCACCATGGAAACCCTGGAACAATTGGACGTATCTTTCTTTCTGAATGTTATTTGTAAATGAGATCGCATATGTTACTTATTTAAAAAGTTGAGAATCATTTTTTTCAAATCATCCGTTTTCTTTATTTAACATATTAGATGGACACTAACAAATTCTATGTACATAGTAAACTTGCAAACAGCTAAACATTACAAGAATAACTATTTTTGACGAGTATTGGTTGTACTCAGTGTAAACTAACAGGCTTACGTCTGACTACCATGGAAAACCTAGATATAATGGATGATCATTTCGTTCTAGCATAGGATTCCTCAGAAGTGACCATTCACTATCCCGCACGTGACACTCGTACTCAGGGACTTCAGTCTCAAGGGTTAACGTTTAATTTCTACACCACTGAGCTGCCATCCAGTAGTATTAGTATTAGTATAGTATAGTATCAATTCATGATATTGCTCGATATGCTAATAAGAAAGAGACTGATCAATTGCAATCTTAAACATCAATAGAAAGAATAAATAAACCAATACAAAAAACAACAAATTTTTACTTGATCCACTTGGTGTTTTTTTTATTTATATCCTCCAATGGATGTTTAGGACTGTTATTGATCAGTCTCTTATTGGAATATATGCATCCTTTGTGTATTGCCTAGATATTGCCTTAAGTCACAAGCTTTATATGCAAAGATGAATGGTGGCTACCAGTTGAATCCAGAACTCGTGTTTCGTCCTCTTTTTGAACTCATCGGCTGCATGTACTTGCATTTCACTTGCATAGTGAACTATTCTATTTCAATTTGTCCTTGAATCCACTATAATTTTAACAAACAGAATGTGCTGCTCAACTAATCTCTATCAAAATATTGTTTCAATGTTTGAGATCATAAGTCAATTGGAGCTAAACCACCACGGGAAGCCTGGAAGCACTGGATGACTGTTTTGTTCTATTGTGGGACTCCTCATCAGTGCACATCCACATAGTTTAACAGACTTAGCTTGCTTAGTTTTAAATATAAACAAAATTATTCATATTACATAAATTGAATCGAAACCAAACGGTTTCATATTGTTTATCAAATGTGCAATGACAATAATATACACAAATAAATGAATAGTTTCACATGTCATAGCTTGTTTACAAAAGTAGTTCTTATCTTAACCTTAAATAATATTCAGATTACAATGTTATTGATTAATTTGTTTTGTTTTATTCTAGAATTATCCGTAACCTTGTTTATCATTGATAAATTTAATTGTTTATCTGAACAAACTTTCTATTCAGATGTTTGTATGGTGAAACCAACAATCTATGAATGAACTTCGAGCGATGCCAAATTTACCTTGAGAATGTCCATTGTAGATCACCAACGTATATTATCTATGTCGAATGATTGGAAGCCTACTCGAGTTGGACAGGAATAGCGTGATGAACCAACTAATTCCGAAGTCACACATCGCGGTCAGCATCTTACTTGAATTGTTCCTTCAGTGTATCACAGCACTTCGGTTGCTTTGAATACCTTCTAACACAAAATAAGTTATCAAGGAAATATATTAGTAAGAATGAGTACAGAGAACATAGTGAGACCACCACCACATGCGCCAGTCCATGGCATATGAAAAATTGATGCGCGTTGATTGTCCTTGTCTTTGACGTGGATCACTGATTTGCTCAATATTCACTGACTCAAGTACCGTATAATTTGTCTAAAGCTCAGTGACATTTTATTGGCCCAACACCATCCACTGACTACGACCAAATGAAGGTCTTAAACCTGTGTGAAAGATACAGATTATGATTTTCAGTTGATGATTAAGGATAGGGATTAGATTTTGAGGTTTTCATCATGAACTGACATCAGCTAAAATGTTTAAACGATATTAAGCCAATTGAATAATTAAATTTCGCGTCGAAATCCAAGATCTGTTATCATAAATCCGATTGGTTCAGCCATAAATTATAATCTGGCCGATGTGTTTGAATTGCAAGCTAAGAGATTATTCCATTTATAAGTTTTTACATCTAATGTCACGATAGGATGTGCATCCTTTAATCTGTAGCGTATTGAATGTGTTTGAACGTAAAATTACAGATCGTCATAGTTAAATCTGACAATCTTACAGTAAATACTTCAGTCATCTCAGACTTCATTGCTTTTGTTTTTTATTCCACACCGGTTATTCTCTGTTCTCGTTCATTTTTCTTCGATCTTCTTATTCTTCTACAGCTAGATGTTTCACTTTTGATTGGTGATACACATGTAGTAAGGCGTCGAGTCACTTTTGACTATGATCACCACAACAGGAAAACTACGTGCTAGTTAACCGATAAGATCCCTCGTAAGCCAAATATCTGAAGGCAGTTGATGGCTGTAGCTGAGATGTATTTGTTGGCAATCTACTGATATCGAAAGGATACTGAAATCGTGCCAGGTTGCAAGTGTGGTTATTGAGCGTAACCGAATTCGTGCAAGGTCACAATCAACAGAAGCATGTATGTATTTTGATACAGTTAAACAAACAAGTACGATAAAACAATTCCTGGTACAATTGGTTATAATAATAATTGTTTCCATTACATCAATCGCATTCCCTTGATAAAAGTAGGTCGCTACACACATACTACTTATATCTGTCGACATCAGTAGCATACAGCACATTTTATTATGGATAAAGCATCTCTGTTCGTTTAATGCATGAATGATACAGTCAAGAACATTATTTTCATTCCAAGTTATAAATTTCAATTTACTTACTATTCTTATTGAAACAAATAGGAATGTGTTACACTGAAGTATTCATTAAGCACATATATTTAAAGTACTAAACGATCGAAATGAAACTATGCTCTTATATTCAATTCTCATTTATTTAATTGGCTGAATATGCTCAAAAATCCTAGACTTTGCGGTTTTATTGAATAACAACAACAACAAATTTGGTTATATTCACATCTGATATGCTCTGCATTACTTAGTTACACCTCTTACTCCTCGTGAAAGAGAATACATCGCCCATCAGCATTTTCAATCTAACTCTATACTCGACAATCCTTTCCAATTGTTTCCACTTACTATTTATTCATTGCACTTGAAATTGATAACAGACACTGAAAGAATGAAGAGAATTTGGAAATAACTGGGAAAGATCGGCCATAATAAAGTTCGATGAGAGATCATGGTGGGCGGCCTATGATTCTCCGTGAGAGTTAGCGAGCGTAAGTTAGGAAGTAAGTAATCACTAGTGAGCATGTGATTTCACAAATATCATTAAATTTTCATAGATTAAATTATGAATCCGTTTTAGTTGATGCCCAATTTTGAGGATAAAACAACGATCCAGTGTTTTCAAGTTTTTATTAATGATTTAACTAAGATCAGTTTTTCACACTCCAATTCTCGAGTCAGTCTTAGCTTAATCATCATTAAAAACCTGAAACCACTGGCGTTCGTCTTGTTCTAGTATGACACTACTTAGTAGCACACATCCATGACCCTACATTTCGGATACGGACTCGAGACCTTTGGTTTCAAATGTAAATTATAAATCTGTAGAGGTCTAGCTTGAATCAACTCATGAATTCACTAATTAATTTTCATAACCGTTATGCAGTTTGATTAGACATATTTTAACATTTATTCGCTTAATTAATAGTGTTATGTCATCATTAATTCATTTAGAGAACTATGTATGATTTTTGTACTTTTAGCTAAATTTATTTCGATCCAACTATCTATCAATCTATTAATATATCTATCTATCTATCTATCTATCTATCTATCTATCTATCTATCTATCTATCTATCTATCTATCTATCTATCTATCTATCTATCTATCTATCTATCTATCTATCTATCTATCTATCTATCTATCTATCTATCTATCTATCTATCTATCTATCTATCTATCTATCTATCTATCTATCTATCTATCTATCTATCTATCTATCTATCTATCTATCTATCTATCTATCTATCTATCTATCTATCTATCTATCTATCTATCTATCTATCTATCTATCTATCTATCTATCTATCTATCTATCTATCTATCTATCTATCTATCTATCTATCTATCTATCTATCTATCTATCTATCTATCTATCTATCTATCTATCTATCTATCTATCTATCTATCTATCTATCTATCTATCTATCTATCTATCTATCTATCTATCTATCTATCTATCTATCTATCTATCTATCTATCTATCTATCTATCTATCTATCTATCTATCCACACATCTATCTATCTATCTATCTATCTATCCACACATCTATCTATCTATCTATCTATCTATCTATCTATCCTTCCACTCATCTATCTATGTATCCTTACATCTATGTATCTATCTATCCGTCTCTCTGTGTATCTATACAATAAGGACAGACATGTTAAACGAGTATTTCATTCGACCTATTTAATGTATAAATACTAGCTCATAGTTTTCTTAACAATTAATTTATTAATGATTGTAATAATGGTCGAAACTCCAACACCAACAACAATCCAAGTTATTGGAGCTGGCCTACCAAGAACAGGTACAAATAGTATGAAAAAAGCATTAGAAATTATTTATTCAAAACCATGTTATCATATGTATGAAGTTATATTTAAAAAACAATCTGATATTGCAAAATGGCAAGAGCTTATTGATGAATCACATAAGACAACATTAGATAAAACAAAAATTTATAATGGTTTAAATGAATTATTAAATGGTTATGTAGCTACAACAGATCTACCATCATGTGCTTTCTACAAGGAACTAATGACTATGTATCCTGATGCCAAGGTAAATATAGATGTCAATATTTTCGTTTCTTTATTCTAAGTCATAATACATACTAAGTAATTCATCATGTATTTTGCTATAGTTGTGAATAAGATTTTGAATTTACTCGAGAGTAGGATGATTTTATGAATCAGCAAAAGTCCTGCTACGGCCGAGGGTGGAGCGAGTCAGCTTTCCCTCTTGAAATGCTCTGACATGGCCACGTGCATAAAACTACTGTCAAGCAAGTTATAATCACTGCCTTCTCGCGGCAGGGTCATAGTTTATGGAACTGAGGGGACTAAAAGTGAATGTTCGATACTTTAACCGAGTTGATGGATACGAAAGATCCATCAATGGGAGCTGAAAAACCCTAATTTCAAATCAGTGGTGCACATGGGCTCCAGGATGCTGAGGAAACAAATGGTGTATGAACCAATGACTGGTCACTGGCTACTGTCAGACTTTATCTCCTGACGTTGCTCCACTGCCATGTGGATCAGACCTTCAAGTCAAAGACTACGGGTTTTGTCCTCTGAGAAAACAACATTTTTCGATGTAGGCGCTCGAAAAGTATCATAGCTCTCACACAAATCGTGTGACTTATGTGGCGTATTTCTATTTAATGCCTTCTTGTACCAATGTTTGTGTGTTTAAATAAATAATTAAATAATAATACGTTAGAACATGAATAATGAATATCACTATATGCAAACGTTATTTAGTATAAACGAGGAAAAAAGAGGAGTGATCATTTATATTTTCCTAATTATATAACTGAAAACCTATGCATAAAATGTATATAAAGTTCTTACTTTATAAGTAATGAATATGGTATCAAGGACGTATAAAAGGTTTGTCAAACAATTAATAATTGCTAGTGAGAAGCTGTGACCAGTGGAGTTTAACTGCATCTATTATGAGATAGTAACTCACTGATGACAATGGTGGATGTATCAATCAATTTCATGGATTAATTGAAGTTAGACATTAACACCGATGGATGCTGTACAGCTCAGTGGCCTGGAGGTTAACCGTTCATGCACTAGAGTAATAGGTCCTGAGTTCGAATCTCGCGAGGCGAGATCGTGGATGTGCACTGCTAAGTAGTCACACAATGGGATGAAACGGCCGTTTGAACACAGAATAGAAAATTGTAAACTTCTTTTTGCCATATTATAATGAAATATATTCATGGGATTTTCATTGCAACATATACTTTATTATCAGGATTGTGTTTTTCGTATATTGTAGTAATTGTTTTTAACAGTTGAATTCATGAGTCGTTTAAAGCTAGACCACCATGATAAACCTACAACAACTAGAACGCCGTTTCACCCTATTATAGGGCTCCTGAGGTGCACGCATCCAGGATCCCGCACGCATGACTCGAAGATAAAACCTCCGGTATCGTAAGCAGAGGTTGAACTTCTACACCACTGAGCCGTCATCCAATAATGTTAATGTCTAACTTCAAACAATCAAAGAGATTACACGATTGTTCACCATTGTTTTCAGTGAGTAATTGCAACCACAACAGATACAAAAACCCTATTCTGATAATGATCATCATGTGCTCACCAGTGGCTTAATGCATAAGGTATTTCCAGGAGTTCTAGCGAGAAGCCGTAGCCAGTGGAGTTCAACAGGGTCTGTTTTGTGACAGTTACTGACTGAAGTCAATAGTAGACGGCCGCGCAATATTGTGGACTGGTTGAAGTTGATGCCGGCCCACTGGTCTAGAGGTTCAAGGTTCGACCCTGAAATCGAAGGTCGTGAGTTGGAGTCCCGCATGCGGGATTTTGGGTGCGCACTGATGAGGAATTCTGTACTAGAACTAAACGACCGGACTGTGTTTGCAGGTTTTTTATGGTAGTCTGGTTTTAATTGACTCATGAATTTAACTGTTAAAAATAATCTTTGCTCTTAATACATATTCACTAACGTTCAGTTTTTAGCATAACTTAATCCTAATTATCACATTTGCTTACCCAATTATCATTCTATTTGCATGAACTTTAAATCATAGATAGTTGTATTGATGATCGACTAATTTGTATGACATGTGTGTTGAGGCCTAATGATTCAGAGGCTTCCACTACAATAGTTTCCTTAACCTGTATGGAATAGAAGAATCAGGTCATCTGCGCAGTTCAAATCATCTAGCCTCTTTCAACCTGTCCATGATACTCATGTGTTCTCTTAAATATCGAGGTCTTCATGTTTCAATCGACCACCGGAAGAATGTATATATCAGTAAAAAAATCTTTGTTTGTTCATTATTTAAAAGGTTGTCATTCATTTATCCAGACAGTGACATAACTTTTCTATGTTTTAGATATCCTCCATTAGTTAATCGATGATTTGATGCTAATGTCATGTTTGTCTAATTCATAGAGCCACTAGACGACAAGGATGTGAATCATTCAAGATAACTAATAGATTTTGTTAACAAGTGTTAACTTTGATCCACAGTTCTTTGTCAAGACGTCAAATTCATTCAATGCATTAGTAACTTGTACATATTTTGTCCATCTATTTATCATTTAGGTTCTATTAACAATACGTGATAAATATGATTGGTTATATAGTTTACGTAAAGTAGTCTTACCAAAATCGACTGATCCATGGAAACTTAAAATTGAAGAAGGTGATCAAGTATTAGGAATTGATTCAAATTTTTATAAAATGAGTGAAGATTCATTAAAATTTGCATTTCAAAAAAATCATATTAATTTAGATGATGATCAAATTCTACTTGAATGTTATGATGAATATAACAGGTTAGTACAAGAAATTGTACCACCGGAACGTCTTCTAATTCATCATCTTGGTGATGGTTGGGAATCATTATGTAAATTTTTAAATGTTGATATACCAAATGGTATATCATATCCTTGTGCAAATTCACATCATCAAATGACACAATTAACGGAACAATTAATTAAACATAAATCATTGGATGATATAATCCATATGTTTCCTGGATTGATATAAAATGGTTATATATAGCTGTTCATTGATATTAACTGTAATAAAGTACTTCAATTTGTAAATTTCTTTTTGATGATACGAATTAGTAAGTCAATCAATCAGTCAGACATTCATCAACAACATAGAACTTTGTACGCACATACATTAGTTCGAGTTGCCATACCACATTAGCACAGAGGTACAGTTGTCGATTCAAATCCCGTAGTGGTAGAGGTAGTAAAAGTATAAGCAGTAATTGGAAACATTGACGTTTGAGGATGTTATTCAACGAGTGTAATCCAGTGAAATGAATTTGCAACGAGACATAAAAGGATATGAAAAATTCAGAAGACTAGAATTTGGGAGAACACAAAGAGTGGATGCACTTGCACCATTGCAAATGATTTCAAGACATGTCATTTAAAGTCTGTAATCATCAGTTGCTACTGTCACATAGATCCCAACTAGAAAGTCTGATTATACGAATGATTATATTTTTATTAGAGTGAGGGTTTGTGAAGACTGTCGTAATTTCAATAGTTGAATTCGTGAGTCAATTTAAGCTAGACTACCAATGAAAATCTGGAGGCACTATACGTCCGTTTCTTTCTCACTCTAAATCGAAGGTCCTACATTCGAGTCTCCAGTGTGGATAGTAGATGTTCATTGCTGATGAGTTTCATGTAAGGACGAATTGGCTATTCGGTGCTGGGATATTCCACAAGTGCCCAAACCGAAGCATATGGTTTTCTTAGGGGACCACACCTGTAGAATTCAGGATGCACATTTCTTTCTGTTTAGGATTTATTAGTTTATTACATTACCGAACATCTCAGGATTGTCATTCACACTGACAGTTGAATTTAGTAACCCTTCTTTGAAACGTCTAACGTGAATTCAAATAGCCACTTACTAGTGTTTTCGTTCTTTTTTGAGTTGTCAATATTTTTAACTGAAACATATTGTATTCAAATATCTAAGTGAACATCAATTCTATGATTCAGTCTCATTCCAACTGACGAAGCACCAATTAAGGCGAAACACATGTCCTTTACTACACTTTTAAGAACATTTCATCTCTATTTATAAAAACATATTAAACTGATTGTATATTATTATTAGTTGTACAATGTAAAATACATTTTGAAGATTATTCCTATCACTGTATGATTCTTTGAATGAAAACCCATTAGTTCATCTCTATAATCTAGTCATTAGTATCTCATTGAATTACATCGAAGCCGGTGGTTAACAATAGATTTCATGAAACTCTTATCATTCAAATCTGGTATCTTTCACTTCTACCACTAAGAAGTTATTTACTAAGCACTAGTAAAGTATTTTTTTTCTATTGAGAGAAGTAGGATTAAGCATTATATGGAAAGCTTTAGCTACTCTCCTTTCTTTGTAAATGAAAAAGCTTTTTTGCAATATTTTGATATTTTTTAAATTAATTTGGTGGTATTTGAAAATGGCATGAACTGCTATTGTCGATATAATTTGAAGTTTATCCAATTCTACAGAAATACTAGGTGGTTTCTTTGTGTACCTACATTCGTTGGCCTGAGTCAGGATTTCGCAAGGTGACTTTACAATATAAAAGGTGTCACAATCGACACAACATAATTTGTAAGCACATTTTTGTGTTGATATAAGAGGGAGATTTTCTTTTAAGCGAACTAAAGTAGTTCGAAGTGCGTTCGTTGTTTTGGAATTCTTTGGAGTTTTATTGTTGTGTCATGACAGTATGGTAAAACTGCAGTACCAACCCATGGTATTTCAGTCGAATTATTATCCATGTCGGGTAGAGACTGTAAGATACATTTTGAATGTTTTGTGTGTGGGTGAAAATCCCTCCATGTATATACTTGTACTTTGTTCCTATTGATCCCCTTAGTTGTAAATTGTTGTCTTTTGATTACATTTGAATTGTTAATACTTGTATTTTGTATTACAGTTTTGTTTTTCTTACGCATTCATCAAGTTTGTGTTTCTTCCTGAATTGCATCTGTGTTGTTTTACTTGACACTTGTTCTTGGCGGTAGCCATATTGATTTGCTCCTCCTTTTGTGTGTATTCTATCCAGTCAGGATAGAATAACGTTCATTTGTTGTGACTAGTCATTTTCCTTCATCTTTTATCAACTTCTTTATTTATTGTAATTTAGATTTGATTGATTGAACAATTATTGGTTGAATAGCCGGGTGGTAATATTTGTTTAGGTAACGAATAGAATCGCTATTTACCCATCACTTCTTTTGATTTCGACGGGAAAGGGCTCGTGTCTAACGTACCCGGACGGCTATTCTTCTATCCAAACCGTAGTTTGGATTCTACAGAGACAGGTATCTACCTCGGTACAATGGAAGATGGTCGCACAATTTCGTGGATTGATTAATGTTAGACACTATCATCATTGGATACTGGCTCAGTGGTCCAGTAGATTAAGCGTTCGTGCGCGAGACCGAAGGCCCTGGGGTCGAATCCCGCGAGCGGGATGGGGGTATACACTACCATGGCGGAGTCTCACATTAGGACGAAACGGCCGTCCAGTGCTTCCACGTTTCCAAAGATGGTCTAACACCAATCGGTTCATGACCTCAATCAAAAAAGTTAATAGTCTCCACAACCCTTATACTACGAATTATTATTATTATTATTACGCACTTAAATATCATGTTTTAAAATACTTCTAATAATCTCCATTGGAAAATTAATAAATTGTAAGATGTCAGTTACATTCTTTGGTTTTTCCTCTTCTGATGCGATGATTTTGTTAGCTCTTCTAAAATGATTTAAGACTAGCGAGATCCTAGCACTGAAAGGATAGGCTGAATGGAAGTCAATAAAGCGATTACAGTGTGTAGGCTTTCGGTATATAGATAGATTTAGAATTCCATTGAAATTTCTTTCCACTAAGTAATCTAAAATTGTTAGCTCACCATGTTCATTTTGATTCTCATTAGTAAGTTTGACATGAGATGAAAGTGTATTGATCCGTTTTGAAAAAGATCTTCGATGAGTTTTTTTATCATAACAAAATGTATCATTTACATATCTAAGCCAAATTCACGGTTTAATGTCATGAGCGAAGGTATTTGATCCTATGTGTGCCGTAAACAGGTTGGCTACAACCGGGGACACAGGGGACCGCAATGCTACACCGTTAGTTTGTTTGTATAACATCCCGTTAAAAGTGAATGGAGTCGAATTTAAGCAGTTTTATTATTATTGATTATTTAGTTAAATGTAATGAGCGATGCAAAGTATAATGCGAGATATGTGTGTAAGAAATAGGTTAGAATAATATCAGAATCGACTTTTGTGGATAGTTTAGACCATGAGTCGATTGAAGCTAGACCATCTTGGAAAACCTGGAAGCACTGGACGGCCGTTTCGTCCCATTGTGGAACCACTTAGCAGTGCACACTCTTGATCCCGCCTCGTGAAATTCGAACCACAGACTCGCATGCTATCGCTTAACCTTTACACTACTGAGCCGGCCGACGTTCAACAATGTTAATGTCTAACTTCAACTAATCCACGGAATTTATTGACACATCCACCATTGTCTTCAGGAAGTTGCTATCTCACAACAGACCCTGTTGGACTCCAATATAATCCCATACTAGGATAAAACGGCCGTCCAGTGATTCCATATTTTCCATGGTGGTCTGGCTTCAAATGACTCATCATTTCAACTATATTTAAATTAGTTAATTGACACGAATATACTACTTGAATAAAAATATTTACTTACAGTTCGATTAACTACCTAATTATTTCAATAAGTAGTCTAGAGATGAAATGATCACATGGATATTTGAATTGTGTTAGTAAACAACAATCTTACTAGAAATGATCACTGCATGAGAGAATGTTCTAACGCATCATTTATTTTACATACTTAATATTTGCATTGATGACTGTGTTCACGAATAAAGTGTATTTACTGATAGTATTCATTAAGGATCTTACTGTTTCGAATGTTTACAAATATAAGATTCTACTTCAATGCAACAGTGTTGTTTTATCAGCATGAGGCCTAAGAATAATGTACGTCTTGGAGGTTTACTACTGAAGTCGAAAAAAATTGATTGCTTGGGTTGTATTAGATCCCCTGTTATCGCCACATAATGATGTGATGTAGTTGTCTGAGCTCTCACTAGCCCAATTATCGACTAGTTCATCCATTTTACCAATAATACCGGTGACCTGTTTATCAATTTACAAACAGACCAATGAACAACAGTCACAAGAGTTTGACGTTTATTTGTGGTCCAGCTACTTCGAACACAGTGACTAACCAGAAGGTGAAGATAGAAAACGGACAAGTGCTCATTTGTGTTCACTCCGTTGTTTTATAAGTCAATCAAGAATATCAATGAAACGTGCAAAGATTTGTAAGATATTCCATATTTAAGATGATCCTCAAACATGAGTGTAAATGAGAATATATAGATGTGTGAAAGCTCATGGGCTTTCTGATTGTCATTATGTAGTGAACAAACACTCAGGTGGTCAGACTAAAAAGTGTTTAGAATTTGATGAAGATTACTGGACAACATTTACTCGGTTACGATGGATACAAGCGTAAGTTAGTAAAGTATGAAAACCATATAATAAATTATTCATTTGCACATTTTCCATCACCTGTCTCTTACAAACTCAATCGTTCATTCATTCCTATTTTTATTACAATAAGTTCCTCGCTATTTACATTCCTATTCTCTTCCATTAGATCTTCTTAACCTTCAGTTGCCAGGCATACCACTTCTGACTAGTGCAACATACTACTTATGTCTGTGGATAGACGAGGCATACATTACGAATTCATTGTCCATAAAATGAACATGGGAAAACTATCTGAGCACACAATTCAACTATAATACTTGAGGTTGAAAAGATGTTGTACTGACAGGAAACAACAACGGAATAACTAGAAACTGGTTAACCAGTACAAGTATTCTGAACAAATAGGACAGGTGTTTTTAGGAAAAAAATAGCGAAATATGTATTGTAACTCATAAATAAACTAACACGACTCCTACCTAATAAAGGAAATTACTTCTTATGATGTTCAGTCAGTTATTCATAATCTTCAGAAGGGGTTTTGTGGATATTATATTAATTTCATTAGTTCAGATCATGAGTGAAGTGAAATTAGACCCCCATGGAAAACCTGAGAACACTATACGACTGTTTCATCTCATTGTGGAACTCCTCATAAGTGCGTATCCATGATCCTACCCTTCCACGAGATTCGAACTCAGGACTTATCAGTCTCCCGCAAAAACGCCTAACCTTTACACCGCTGAGTTGGTCGACATCCAATGCTGTTAATGTCTAACTTCAACTAATCCATTGAATTGTTTGACACATCCACTATTGTCTTCATTGAGTTACTATTACACAACAGACCTGGTTGAACTCCACTGATCACTGCTTCTCACTAGAACTTCAGGAAATACCATTCGAAGTCAGTCACTAATGAGCATATGTTGATCATTATCAAAATACCATAATCTTATCAGCAGTCTTAAACTGATAATGTTATCATCAATCTTTTTTCTTACAAAGAACTACACTATTTTAAATTCAATTAGTGTTGTTTTACTTGTATCTTTCTCTTGTTATTTAGGACTGCAATTGATCAGTCTCGTGTTGACAAAATAGAACGAAATGCGCATCTCGGATTCCACTGTTAGCGACTATTGATCTTTGTTTACAAAGAACTACATTAGTGTTTCAAACATTTCGATGAACTATTCATATCGTTCATATTATAATGAGTTAATGCACTTTGATTTTTGTAAATATTTGCCAAAAACAAAATAATGAATTATGTAAACAATAACATAAATCATCATTAAAATGTTTACTGTAAATGACATAGAAAAAAATACCTTTTGTCAATCAACTAAATAGTCATCATTATTGGTTAGAACTGATTACGATTGTGTAGTGGTACGATCATATAAACTATTCACAAATAGTTTTTGTAAACAAGTATGTTATTATTATTATCATCAACAGAATAAGGTTTATGGATCTCTCAAGTGCGATTGGAATCCAAGACGTACGTACGCTTAACCTCTAGACCAATGAGCCGGTATTTCACGATGTTATTGTCTAAAGTTCATCGATCTATGAATGGATGTGCAACTATCCATCCATTGTCTGAGGCAGATACTTGTTTCCATCTGACACCGATGTGTTCTACTGGTTAAGACTTCCCACTAGAACTCCGAGAATTTCATTATGAAGCTAGTCACTAGTGAGCACATGTTTATTATTAATATGGATAAGTGGAGATTGTTGCGTTTTTGATTGAGACCATGAATCGTTCGATGTTTATCTCTTTAGGAAATCCAATAAAAGTACAGCCTCTGCCAGGGGAGTCCTACTCACTGCCTTTTCGTGGCGTGGGTGTTGTTTACGAAAATGAGAGGACGAAAAGCTAATGTCCGGCGCTTTAATCGGATCTCAAACCAAATCAATGGTGCACATGGGCTCCAGTACCCTGTGGGAACAAATGGCGTGTGAACCAATTTTCGGTCACTGGGTACCATAAGATTGCATCTCCTCACGATGCTCCACTGCCTTGTGTGTTAGACCTTTAGGTCAAAGACTGGGAGTGTGGCCCCCTAAAAAACCACCTGCTTCGGTCTGAGCACCCTGGCAGTATCACAGCCCACACACAAATATGACAAACTGTCGATAATTATGGGAAATACTTTTCTTGCTTAAATTAACAATCAAACGATTCACATTATTATCATTATCATTATTATTCACTACGTCATTTATTCACTCTCTTTTATTCCTACTCTGTCTATCCTTATTTTTCGACTTATACAGCAGCTCGCGTATGATGAGAATTCGGCTCTATCTAAACGTTCTCGAGTAGAGACGTTATCAGATATGGCTCAGAATAGAAGGCAGTGGCGATCCTACTGTAACCTTCTTTTACGTTCTTCATAAAAAGTGGTTGCTTCTTCCTTAAGTGAAAGATTTCTTCTGATTGTACGTTTCTGTTTCCCCCATTATTATTATTATTATTACACTACTTTACAATAATCTCTTCGTTATCGTTCTTTTTTTACGCTACTTACCCTTTTTTCCTTCTCTTCAAATTCTCATTGTTTTGTGTGGCACATATCTATTTGGTGCCGTCTTGTACCAATATTTGTGTGTTCAAATAAATAAATAAATGATCAATAGAATGAAAGATCTTTTGATTCGTAAGACATGTGTCTATAGCATTTTCGAGGTATAATAAAATGTTGGCTATAGGTGTTTGCATACGTTAACAAAATCAAGGCATAATAGAAGACCTATTCAGTGTACTTTAAACGTATCACTGTGATTCACTTAAAATAATACAATTCCAAGGTCACTGTCGCATTGAATACATACCGTAATTGGATGGAAAGTTCATCGGTGTTCCAAAACTCATAAACAATAAGAATGTTGGATTATACTCCTACGTACAACATCTTAGAAGATTAACTAGTAAACTCACATCAATCATTCTTATGCGAATCTAGGTATGAAATGATAAAGAGAAGAAAAGTCGAATATTATCTACAAAATGAGCTATTCTAGATAAAAAAAGGACTACATCGAACAAGGTGGACGCCTCCTTCATCTTCGTCTGCATGAAAACCAACTAGCAGTGAAATGTCACAATATATCTTTGCTTATATCAATGCATGTGGGCAATTGTGAACACATATTTTAATTGGGAAAATGCTAAGAGTCTGGATAGAAAAAACACTAAAAATGACAGAAAAGTTTCGGGAACTTGACGCTCATCTCAATCAGTAATCAATGATCATTTAGAAATTGATTCAATTTATTGAACAACTAGAAAAATAAATGACAGTTATATAGAACCAATAATCAGACCAAAGGGAGATACAATCAATGATACTTGGGAACAACTGGAAAGGAAAACTCAGAACAGAGTCGGTTCTAGATTTCTGGTCAACGGCTTATGCACCAAAGGGATAACAAGCGTAACTAGGTAAGAATGTCGTGTTTAACATTCTTTGGTTTCTAATGATATCTTCAGTACGAACAGTCTGTGTTAAATACAATTTATAAATCAAACCGTTGCAAGCTAACTGTTAGGATTAATCACTAAATTTATTAGTATCAGAAAGGATTTTGTAGAGATTTTAGTAATTTAAGTAGTTGAATTGGCGAGTCAATGTACGCTAGACTACCATTGTGAACTTGGAAGTAGTAGACGGTTGTTTTGCTCTAGTATGGGACTCCTCAGCAGTACGTATTTACGATCCTACAAATGCGATTCAAACCCAAAACGCTTAACGTTTACACCACTGAGCCGGTCAGCATCCAACGGTGTCAATATCTAACTTCAACTAATCCACCAAATTGAGTGACACACCCACCATTGTCTTCAATGAGCTACTATCTCATAACAGTTACGACTGAATACTTGTCACTACTTCTCACTAGAACTTCAGGAAATACCGCTTGAAGTCAGATATATTAAATTTATACAGTAATCTGACTTCAGTAAAAGCATACCCATATTCTTTGATGGTCTGTATGATATCCATCATCAACTTATTTAAATGAATAAATATTATTATTCATATATAAACAAAATGTACACACAATAATCAGATAAATTATGCATTAAAATAATTTCATTCAATATATATTTATATTTAAAGCGTTAAAAATTATACATCGTTCAATAAAGCGTTTTCAATTAAACTATTTTCCATACTTATAATTACAAGTAACCTAGAAAAAAAAAGAGAGGGATATAGAGAGAGTGAGAAAGAGAGCGCCCAGAAGTATATACGAGGGATAGAGAAGAATAGCGCATGCAGAAGAGTAGGGGAAGGATAACGAGAGAAAGATATATATATATATATAGAATGAGAGATAGTAATGCGGAACGGGTAGACAGGCGATAGAGAAATAGAGCGCAGGCAGAAGAATAAGGGAAGGATAACGAGAGAGAGAGAGTGAGTGAATGAGTGAGTGAGTGAGTGAGTGAGTGAGTGAGTGAGTGAGTGAGTGAGTGAGAGATAGTAATGCGGAACAGGTAGACAGGCGACAGAGAAATAGAGAGCATGTAGAAGAATAGGGGAAGGATAACGGGAGCGAGAGAGAGAGAGAGGGAGTGAGTGATAGAGAGATAGTAATGTCTTCTTTTCACCGGTAGTGAAAATTCTGATTCACCTATTCTATATTATCACATACATGAAATTGTATATTTATTCATGAACCAACAATGATAGAATTACTATCATATATTTCTTTAGATTATAAAACTTTCAATGATAATGATCATTATATTTAGTATGAATAATAAGATTCATTGAATTAGATTCATTGAAATGAGCTGTTTTCCATAATAAATGAATTAATGTTTTCGGTAATATAAATTCAAATAATTTATTATTTCTATTCATATGTTGTTCTAAATCATTTGGATTTAATGATGATTTAGCTAATTTATATAGATAGAATGCTAATTATTAAAATAAAGAAAAGAAAGAAAAAAGAAAACAAAAACAAAAACAAAACAAACAAACAAAAACAAAACAAAAGAATAAATAACAATAAACATGAGATTAAACATGAAAATATTTTTTGAAAATTATATGATATTGAAATTTAACCAGGTCTGTTGTAAGATATCAATTCACTGAAGACAATGGTTTACGGTTGCAAAACTTCGTGGTATGGTTGAAGTTAAGCATTATCACGATTGGATGCCGGCTCAATGGTCTAGTTGGTGAAGCACCTGGCACGAGACTAATAGGTCCTAAGTTTGAATTTCGCAGGGTGAGAGATCGTGGATGTGCACTGCTGAGGAATCCCTTACTAGGACGAAACGGCCGTCCAATGCTTCCAGGTTCTGAATGGTGGTCTATCTTTAGTTGACTCATGATTTCAATCTGTTATATTGAAAAGTTTGAATTCATGAATCTCATGGAGTGGGATCGTAGCTGTGTACCGTTAAGGTGTCCGATACTAAGACAAAATGTTTGTCTAATGTTTTCAGGTTTTTCATGGTAGTCTAGCTTTATTTGACTTATGAATTCCACTATTGAAATTACTAAAATCTTTACAAAACTCCTTTTTGATAATATGTAATACATATTTTGTAGTTATTTTTAATAGTTGAATTGATTAGTCAATTGAAGTTAGACCATCAAGAAAAACCTGGGAAGCGCTTTATGGTTGTTTTGTTCTACTACGGGACTCGTCATCAGTGCACACCCACGATCTCGCCTCATGGGATTCGAACCCTTAGCTTATGTGTCTCGCACAAGTGCGCCATATAGTCGAGAGGTATGTGTTCTAGAAGGCCTGAGCCCATCATAGGTATGCTCAAAGACGTATTGATGTTGTTTTAAAAATTTCTAATGCTGCAGTTCGTTGACGTTCGGTCTTTTCGTTGAGGTCTTTATATGACCCAAGCTTTTGGAATTTAGTTTGATCACTCAGTAGGGAACTCATCTTATCTATGTAGTCTATCTTGTTTAGAATAACGATGCCCGATCCATTATTACGTTTGGTGATAGGAATGTGTTCATTCAATTTTTGCTTGCGAATAGCCTCACGGTGTCTATCAGTCAATATACTATGTGTGTATACCAATTCAACTGCTCCTGTGAGGCTAATTTCATAGACCGTACTCAGTGGGCTTTATTTTTGCGTGTTCGTGAATATGTACCAGCATCGTTAGGAAAAGGAGTCACTAAATCGATCAACAGCACTATCCTTTCTTACTGGGTAGATAATGAACATCATATAAAAATAGAGGAAGCTTTCTCTGTTTTATATCAAGTTCCAAAATATCTACCTCAAGGATGTACATCACGGTTATTCTACATAGCCTAAGCCATTTAGATCGACTCCAAAAAACCAAACTTATGTATCCAGAAAAGGTGTATCCAGCCTCTACATTTACTGGATCACCGAATACCTAAACTGAGTATTATAAATATCTTGCCCTCTTCTTTTTTTGATTACCTCTATCTTAATCTTCACATCCATCATTCCTAATTCGTTTATCGTAATAAGCGTAATATCCCCCTTACTACATATTATATTCACACAACAATATTATTATCATTGCTATCTCAATTGACAAGAGGATATTCTCCTATAATGCACTTTATTCAAAAAAAAAAATTTTTACATTTTCGTACTTACTATATTACTATATTACTATTAACCTTTCTGATATGAATCAACATATGCTCATTAGTATCTAGCTTTAAGAAGTATTTCCTGGAGTTCTAGTGAGAATTAGTGACCAGTGAAATTCAACTGATCTGTTATAAAATAGTAACTCACTGAAGACAATAATGGATGTGTCGTTCAATTCGGTGGATTAATTGATGTTAGACATGAACACAGTTGTATGCTGACCGGCTCACTGATCTAGAGGTTAAGCGTTCGTGTACGAAATTGATAGATCCTCAGTTTAAATCTCTTGAGGCATGATCATGTATGCTCACTTTTGAAGAGTCCCACAATAGGATGAAACGATCGTCGAATGTTTCCAGATTTTTCATGATGATCTAATTTCAATTCACTGACAATCTCAACTATTATATCATAGAATATTTACTTAGTTGATTAGAATCTATTGTGAAATTTTCTTCATTTAAATTGATCACATACCAATAGTTTTATTAATATAAATAAAGAATGAATTTAGTATTTATTTATTCTTATGAATATAAATACTCTCAGTCAATTTCCTATGTTGGATACATTTTCTTACGTATTAATTATTTTATATGATATAATGATATATCACATTAATTTCATTAAACTACTCCATTTTATGATTATTATTATTGTTGTTGTTGTTATGTAGAAGAAAATAAACGATTAACGACTTCATTACTCTTCTTTTCACTCTTTTTCTTTCTCGTGTTTTTTGTTTTTCTTTCAAGTGTTTTTCTTTTAATTATTTATGTACTACACTTATGTCGTTCATGATGAATTCCAGTGATCAAACAAAGGAGGTTACAATTTTTATTGTGTAAAGGAAAAAATGGTAGTGTAGTGAACAATCAATGATTTGATTTGACAGTGACTGATATATATATATATATATATATATATATATATATATATATATATATATATATATATGTATATGTATATCAGTACTGAAGTTAGGTATGTAACTAAGATTAATAACCGATAGCATACGGAGTTTGATGATTGAATATGCGAGAAATATGTTGATGTGATGTTTTATGGTTGTTTGTGTTTGTTTTTCATGATCTGTGTACTTGACAGGAATCAATAATTTTAAAAAAATGTTTATCACTAGTTTTATTTGTAGTTAGCAACCAACTAACAATGTATATTTATAGAAATCAAAACAATTTTCTGTCAACTAGTATCAAAGTCAAAATAGGAGCTGAAACTTGAAGAACTACTACAATCATCATCAAGAAGTTGCAAGTATTTATAAATAGCTGTCTACGCAAGATACACAACATCCATTGGTCGGATATCATTAGCAACAACCAGCTTCTAGGTGAAGAGAAAATTAAGAAATGGATAGGACATATATTACGGAAATCACCAAACTGCATCACGAAGCAAGCTCTAAATTGCAATCCTGAAGGGAAGCGGAAGAGAGAAAGGCCAAACAACACATCACTTCAGGAAACATAATCAGATATGAATAACAATTGAAAACAGCTGGAAAGGATTGTCCACTAAGGAGAACAGCTGAAACTACCTATGTTCAGAACACGCTAATAAAAGTATTGAATCGTTCATTACGAGTGTGATTTAGATTTTGAAACAACGATGAACATTTGTAGCTCAGAATTACGTATTTAGTATAATCTCATTCTCTGCGCTAGATAATGCTATTGAGGTCCTTGGGTTCTGTAAATATGATATTAGATATGTTATAAGTGATCTGAGATGTGATGCAGTCATAAACTATCATCTTTAATCATTATTAAAGACAACTAGTTTTTTTTAAAAATAATAAATGAATTACACATTTCACTTACCAAGCTCATTATCTTCAAAACCAAGACTATCACCAAGTATTTCATTAATTCTTTGAATTCCTTCAATTTCAACATCTACAATCTATACATATATAAAGAAAATAACTCATCAAATAATGAGTGACATAATAATTTCAATAAAGTAATTCAACTTTTTAGATGATGACATCATCCATGTTGTGGATGCGGAGGAAAAGACCAATAATTATCATGTTAAGTCCAATGGTGTCCTTGGACTTTAAATGGACATTTCCTATTGGTCGATATCTGTTCACTTGTTGAATATTGTACAAAATGTTGTTTTCTATTTTTATGGTACGATGTGGTATGCTTGATTGGTATATAAACAAAGTATGTTTGAAATATAATGATTCATATCTCAGAGGTTGTGACTTGTGTTATGGACTCGACTGACTGGGCTAGACAGGGAAGCGAGACCAATCGAGACACTAAGTCGTCCACTACGTGTAACCGTGTCACCGAATCGATCGATAAGTACGCTGCTTTCTAATTTTCCAGTCAAGGACACAACAATTAGCACAGGGTAAAAATCGACCACAACTTAAAGCCATAACAATCCACTTGCATAGCCTTCCTTTATCTTTCAGGTCTTAGATTTTGACGCAAAATTCATTCACCCATTTGTCTAAATAGAATCTTGGCATTATAGCTAATATTAGTTCGTGATGTAAATCATGAATCAGATGCCTAATCCTAATCATAGTCCCTGTTATTCATACAAGTTTATAAACTTCATTTAGTTTAAGTAAGTAGGTGGACATTCTCAACGTCACTTTAACGTCATTCAAAGATCGTCCATAAATTATAGTCTCACAGAAATTAGATTTACGGTTTCGATCACGAACTGACATCAGCTATCATGCCAAAAACTCTATTTATCTGATTGAATGAATGAATTCCGCGCCAAACTCCAAGACCTGTTATCTTATACGTGATTGATTCATTCATAAATTATAGTCTCACCTAATTTTCTATTGGAACCATTCAATAAAGGATATAACGATATAGAGTTACCAATTAAAAATATGTCAAGGAATCAAATCAACATAAAGAATTAAGCATTGAGCAACATATGAATAAATAAATGTTAATCACTATACATTATATTAGAAGTTGTTTCAAGTCTAAATATTGAACTGATAAGAAAAATGACACATTTAACCTTTATTAACTCACTCTATCACTGATACTGTTTAGAATTCCATATGTTTATCAAAGGGTGAGTACACTGAACAATTATTTTTATTATATGGTTTAACTGTTGTATAACATAATATTTGTAGGCAAAAGATAGGGATACATCTATATATTACAGTGGTATTTCTAAGATCTTTCACATGTATGGTTGGAATTGCGGGGATGAACTCACAGTTCAGAAATATAGTTAGTGAATTGGTTGATGAAACTATACTGCGCGGCAGTTCGTTCTATTTTAATTGACGGTTGCGAAACGTGGCGATTAAGAGTTGAAGATACTCATAAGCTACTAATATTTGACCATGGATGCCTTAGAAATACTACTAGGATCACCTGGCAAGTAAGAGTGAGGTTAGACGCAGGGTATTAGGGAATGATGGTCAATCAGTTGATGAGGTTGTGAATCTCCATCGACTGAGATGGTTAGGCCACGTGTTATGTGTGCCTAAACACTGAGCACCGCGACGCGCAATGCCAATTGGCGTTGGGAATGGTTGGAAGAAAGTTAGGGTCCGCCAAAACAAAACGTGGTATCAGTGCTTGAAGTCACTAACCTCTAGTCTGAGTCATGTTGGTAGATGTAGACTACTTGGTTGGATACTGTGTGTGACATAGCTCAGAATCGATCACAATGGCGTAAGTGTATACACTCTCTGTCTAACATAAAAGTAGGCTGTAAAATAACAAGACATAATATGAATTCATAAACTCATAATTTATGTTAAACAAAGCCTATCCAACATACACAAACTTTTTGGATAGAATAATCATGATTATTGTAGCCTATTATTAAGGATCTAATGTAATATAAGTCGAAATATATTAGGATGATAGAGATATATGAGTTGTCATAGTGTTTCAGTAATAATGTTTCTTATTCTTTAACTCTGATCATTTTCTGTTGGTAGTCTGTACAATCTGAAGATAAATTAACCAGTCAATTGACTGTTGTCATAATATTCACTTTTTGTCTAGTCAATCGCTTAAGGCATTCTTAATGTGTAACGTGTAATTAGTTCAATTAATGAGACCGAGTTAGTTTCTTATGCGAATTGGTTAAACCAAGGAGGACTAGTCAGACATGAGATAGGTCACTACTTAATGATCATTTAAATGTAAATCTCTTGATCCTATAGTTCTAACACAATACAAATAGCTCAATATATACGCCTCAAAATGTAAAGTTGTACGACTCGGGTTCCGGATTCAGTTTATTAAAGATTATATGTAAACCTTACGGACTAATTCTATTTATCATGAAATTTAAGTTCATTTAGAACAGTAGTCACATTGCAACCAACGATGAAGGACGAGACATATGTGATATTAGTCACTACTCAGAGTACAATCAGTTGTTAGAGATAAGAAAATTGAAATAATGAAGACATCAAACATATACACCTAGTTCGTTTTTCCAGCTTGATTTTACAATTAAAATGAGAGATGGATGAGTGCTAGCTGTGGAATCTAGAACGCGCATTTCGTCCAACCCGAGACCCATCAGCTGAATGTACCTGGATTTTAGCGTTGATGTTCAATCCTCGACTAAAACATAGTACCGCTTGCTATAAATGCCATCATATTATCCAATAAGCTACTGAGGCCAGATAGCCATTAGCATGGGCAATGGAGTGAATTTTTAATTCATTTTGTATTGATTGGTTGAATATTCCATTAGGTGTGAAGGCGCGAATCGGCAAGGCAAGAGCAGGATATCTTGAACTGAAGAACATCTGGAGCTCAAAACAACTGTCAACCAACACCAAAGTCAGAATTTTCAATTCAAATGTCAAGACAGTTCTACTGTATGGGGTGGAAACTTGGAGAACTACAAAATCCATCATCCAGAAGATTTAAGTGTTTATGTTGGAAACGTTAGATCCCCAGAACTCACTTGGGAAATGAACTAATTTTGTAATTTTATTTAATAAATTTGAATTTGTTTGTTTTCGGGCCAAAGGCGCTCTTGTCACCGTCATGTCGTATTTCCCACTGGGAAATATTTTAAATGCTATTGGTCCGTTGCGTCTTTTAGTATGCTATTTGGTAACTTTCCTCAAGGACGGTTTTGTACTGTATATATACGTTTTGAATTGTGTTTGTTGTTCTCGCTCGTTTCTGGCTATTTGCAGAATATACTTCTCAATTCCAAGCTTGGACTTTTCCCTGTAGTTAGCGGTGCTGGGATGCATCATTAGCTAGCTTACTGATCTCTGGTTACCGAGTCGTGTTTTTCGTTCGCAGATTAAGCGAACTCGTGTTAGCTTCAACCCTAGCAGTTTATTAACAGTTTTCTACGCAAAATACTTCGGATCCGTTGGCCAGAAACTATCAACAACAACCTTCTGTGGGAGAGAACAAACCAGATCCCAGCGGAGGAAAAAATTTGGAAGAAACACTTAAAGTGGCTAGGACACACGTTGAGAAAAGCACCCAACTGCGTCATAAAGCAAGCCCTCACTTAGAGTCTTCAAGGAGTAAGAGGAAGACCAAAGAACACATTACGTCGAGAAATGGAAACAGACATGAGAAAACTGAACAACAGTTGGATGGAACTAGAAGGAAAGGTCCAGGATAGAGTGGATTGGAGAATGCTGGTTGTCAGCCTATGCTCAATTGGGAGTAACAGGCATAAGTAAGTAATAGATATCGAGGAAAGAGTTTGAACCGAACGTTACTAGGTTCACATCCAGAAACAAACGTCAACTCTGAAATATAAGTACATCCAACCGATGAGTCCCAAATTAAACGAAATGCATATCCTGAATTTCATTGCTAAACACCATCTATCTTTACTTATAATAATGATGACGTAAATCAATATCAAGACAATTTGCACAACATACACATATATCTATAAAAAAAAAACTGATTAACTACAATTCTAAATGTCAATAAGAAGATTCATAAAACCAACAAAAAATAAATGATGATATCATTATTTTTATACAATCACTTATTGATTAATAGTTACTGTTACCATGACAACAGTGAAATATTTTAAATGGAAAAAAAATAGTTTGGCAAACTGTTTTTGGAAAACAAAAAACAACAATATGTTGAATTGATTTAAAATGACTTTTGTATTTAAAAAAAGGAAAAAAAATAGAAAAATCATATTAACATGTGACGCATGTATTACGTCATACAGATAGTAATTCATTACTCCATAATTACTTTATATGGTGAATATTTTTATTTACTATATGATAGGCTAATCAAGTGAATTGTTATAATGTCTACAGTTTAAATGCTTAAAGTATGCTGAGTATAAATTGATTAAGATCATGAGTCAGTTGAAGCTAGACCACTATGGAAAACCTGGAAGCACACTGTTGGATGTCAGCTCAGTGGTCTAATGGTTAAGTGCTCGAAACCAGTAAGTCTTGGGTTTGAATCTCGTAAGGCGAGGTCATGGATGCACACTACTGAGAAGTCCCACAATAAGATGAAACGGACGTCCAGTGCTTCCAGATTTCCTATGGTAGTGTAGCTTTAGTTAACTCATTTTTCAATGGAAAAATTCATCTCAAAAGTTTTCAGTTAAACAATCTATGAAAACTAAGGAACAGTAGAAAGCTATTTCATTTCAACACTTCACTTCTCACCAGTATACATTCAAGTATATTGAAAATATTAGCTAATGAAACATCATAGTTAAAATAATCGATAATGTAGTTAAAATATATGAATGAATAGCGTTTTCTTATACACTATATGAGCCGATTCTATCTTTTATAGCCCTAAAGTTCGAAAAGAATGATAGTTTATTTAAAGACTTATAGTCATTTAAAAGCGGATTTTTTTAATGAGTGAAATGGACAGTCAAGTTTACTCCACAAGTTTATCTCAAATAACAGATATTTCAGTTAAAGGAGGTTTTCATGTTTACTGATTTTACAGTATTCCATTTAAACTAATTTTATGCAGCTTCTTAGATTGTGTGTCAGATAATACTGTGAAAAGATTTATTAGATTTCAAGAATGTACAACATAAGGTGTTAAATTAAAATAATATTTAATATAAGGCCGAACATTTTCTTCTAGTAAGATTGAGAATCTATTCTTAATTCTATGTTTGTTGTAGCTAACTGACAGAAAGATATTTGAGTTGTGGTGATAAATAACATGCTTTTCATGATAGGGGTTTGCTTAAATGATAATACAGACTAACCTAAATCAGGTAACTATGGAATATCAAAAGCACTATACACATGTTTTATCCCTGTGTGAGACTAATCAATAGTTTGCATCCATTACCCAATCGGCGGTCTAACTTAGAAGGTTCAGGACAAGCAAAGAGTGACTAACGTTTTGGCTATTTAGTCGGTATCCAATTGTTTTCAAATCCAATCATCTTCTACTACCTTCAATAAACAAGTGCCCCACACTAGACATTATTGAACTGTAATAGTTAATGCTTCTCACTGGAACTCTGGAAAATATCATTCGAATTCAATTCCTAATGAAGAAGATCAACATTAAATTCTAGCAGGAAAATAAGTGAATACTTCATTACGATTAGTCAATAGAATAACGTATTATAAATCATTCAATTTAATTGTCTGAATTATGTATCGGTCTAATTCAAAATTAAAGGAAAGCTAAATTTTTTATTACATTAGTTAAAATATTAATGTAAGATCAAAATTGTAAGGATAGTCTTTGGATGAATTCTGGGAAGCTTTAAGAAGCTCAGAAAAAGTCGAGGATATTCCATCCAATCCTCTCTTGGAAGAATATTCCAGAATCCCGAAGTTCAGCTTCCCTATTGAACAAATGATAATAATTTCTTACATCTGGATTAGTGAACTCTATAAATATCTAATAGTTTTGTACAATAACTGACATCATTTCAGAATAGCATTCCATTCATTTGTGTTCTATTTTCTCATTTGCAACTTGAGAGACTTTATGCGTTTGACTAATCAAGTAATCATATGGGTTTTTTGTGGATATTATAGTAATTCCAATGGTTAAGATCATGAGTCAGTTGGAGCTAGACAACCATGGAAAACCTAAAAGCAATGGACGTCCATTTCATCCTATCGTGGTACTCTTCAGCAGTGTGCATCCACGATCCTGCCTTGCGAGATTCGAACCCACGCAAACGCCTGGTTTTTACACCACTGAGGTGGCCGACATGCAACGATGTGAATGTTGAACTTCAACTAATCCATGAAATTGACTGACACATCCACCACTGTCTTTAGTGAGTTACTATCACACATCAGACCTTGTTGACCTTCACTGGTCACTGCCTCTCACTAGAACTTCAAGAAATATCTCTTGGAGACCGTCACTAGTGAGCATATCATGATTATTATTATTATCAAAGAGGGGTTTTCTGGTTATCATATTAATTCTATAAATGCTAACTTAATGCTTTTTCTTCTAGTATTCTAGAAAGAAAGGTTGAAATAGATGTTCGATTCATCGGAATTAATGGATAAAAACAAACAAATATCTACCTTAGAAACATATCAACTTAATACTGATACATTGATTATTCTAATTATAAATTTGTTCTTTAGTGTTGTATTCAAATGCAACAAAATGCACAAAAAGTACAATCACTCAAATTACAGCCTAAATAAAACTTGAAATTAATACCAATCACACACACACACACATACACATGCATAGATACACATGAAATATACATCAGTTGAAATGTTCTACATCAAGTACAATTTCCGATTATTACATGGAGTGAAAATTTAATTTCATACGACAGTATAAGACATTGATTGCTTGTTTTTGTAATGTACTTTGATGTGATATAAAAGAAACAAGAAAAGAGTCTTTTCATGAATAGAATGAAAGCGTGAAAATATATAGTCTCTTAGTTTACATTAAATAAATGAAATATAATTGATAATGGAATTGAAGATTTTGCTATTTTGTTGTATATAAGTCTAATCAGCTAAAACTTAAGCTATAAACATTGATGCATTTAAACTAAGGTAAATGTGCCGGGCTCGAATATAGAAGTGGATATTAACTTTAAAGTAAGGGTGCCCCCAAATGCCCTGGTATGGCCGAGAGTGTGGTAGGCCCGCCCTCCTTCTCGAAATGCTCTCACGCGGCCACGCGTATACAGCCTCTGCTACGGAAGTCCTACTCATTGCCTTCTCGTGGCGGGGTTGTTGCTTACGAAATTGAGAGGACAAATAGCGAATGTCCGAAGCTCTAACCGGATTCCAAACCAATGGTGCACATGGGCTCCAGTATCCTGCTGGAACAAATGGCGTATGAACCAATTGTTGGTCACTGGCTACCATGGGACTACATCTCCTCATGATGACCCACTGCCTTGTGGGTCAGACCTTAAGGTCAAAGGCTCGGGGTGTGACTCCCTAAGTGTGCATCCGGGCAGTATCACAGCCCTCATACAAATCGAATGAGATTTTTGTGGCGCATATGTATTTGGTGCCTCTTTGTACCAGTGTTTGTTTGTTTAAATGAAATGAAATAAAATAAATTACAGTGAGAGTATGTCTAATTGACGAATTTGAATTGTGATGGAATGAATGTTCTAAATTCCACTGCTATATAAATTACATCTATTTTGTGTAAACGTATGTTATAATATCAAAGTCATGCCAAAATATCAGTAATGAAATAAACCAAACCATTAAAAATAAAACGGCATTAAAATCATTCCACTTGCTAACATACTTGATGATACTAATGTCAGTTCAGTTTGTAGTTTATAAGTGAAAGCTACTGAGGAATGAACGATTAGGAAGAGAACACACGTTATACTCTCTGTATAGTTTTAAATTGTCTGTTGACTCTTTGATAATAGTAAATAATAGTCAAATGAAACTTTGTCAATAATAAGTGAAGATTTTAGAATTGATGAGCTTTACAATTAAAATGTTTACATTTAAAGTATGTATAGATATGGGGAACAAAATGAAGTGATATTAACACACAGTAGAACAGTTTTAATCACTTTGGTAAATCATCTTTTTAGCTATTCATCATGTTTGTATGAAAACAGTAATCTTATGTTGAACTAGTTGTATTGTATTGTAGATCATCAAGATTGATGATCTATGTCGAATGATTGAAGACCTACTCGAGTTACTGAGACAACCACCTCATTGGCCAGCTCATGGTATATGATTAACTGATTCGCATCGGTTGTCCTTGATCTTGACAAGAATCGATGATTTGTTCGATATTCAATGACCCAACTGCCGGGGGATTTGGCTACGGCTCACTGGCCCTACAGTACGATCAACATCCATTGAAATTAATGATATCTCAATAGTTGAGTTCATAAGTCAATTGAAGCTAGATCACTATAGAAAACCTGTAAGCACTGAACGACCATTTCGTCCTACTCTCGGACTCCTCATGATCTCAACTATTGAAATTACTATAATATCCACAAAAACCCTTCTGATATTAATGATATTTGTCTTGATCCCAACGTCACTAAACTCTATCAATTACAGAAGTATTAGTGATAATGACATAAATCTATAAAATTCGAATTTCATTTAAACATTAAAATTATAATTATCATCGTTTACCTCATTTTCTTCTAAATTTCCATCTTGTTTAAAACGAATAGTTCGTTTGCCTGATCCAACATGACTATTTCTACCTTTTGAACGTGAACTTATCATATCTAAATTGTATAGAATGTACAAAAATGTAACTCTATAACAAGACAGTAAAATATTAATTCTTATGTAGTACAAAATTATTTAATAATACATTATAAAAATTTTCTAATTAAATGGATAATGGCTAGCAGTGAAAACTAGGACGCGTGTTTCGTCCTATTTTGGACTCGTCAACCAAATGTACCCGCATTTCAGAGTTGATGTTCTCCCCGTGACTCGAACACAATAACTTTCGTTTCACTTGCTATCCTTAACAATAGCTACAGATTCTTGGGATGAAATCGTTGATAAAAATTATACTTTATTAAGTAGTATTCAAGTATTTAATGGATTGAACATAGAAGATATTGTAAGTATATTCAGGCACTTCTCTTAAACTAATTTGATATTTGACGGTTGCGTTATATCTGTGTATATGGAAGCCTTTTTTATTCACAAAGTATTGTTGCGATAAGGTGGTGGTTGGAGTTAGTCTACAGGAAACCCCAGACCCGAGTTTCATGCTATTTGGCACTTGTCAGCAAGGTGTACCTGTAATCTCGAGGGAACTGGTGCTCCCTGAACGATTCGATTTGGTTTCACCAAGCTTCACAGTCAGAGATGTTGCCACTGAGCTATCTAATTTGCTGAAATTTCATTATCACACAGATTGTTAAACATATCTTGGGAGTCTTATGAGCCCTTGTAATCTGGTGTATGACGAAATCTTATCACGGATACAAAAGGCTCAATTTAATGTGATGTATTTTGCGCTAAACATTTTGAACAATCTGGTCAAACACATATGTGTCAAGGCATTTTATACAAAAAATCAATGAAATTATTCGTGAAGCAAATACTATACTCCATCGATACAGAGAGATAAAACTGTGAGAATAAATACCGAAGCAGTCTGAATAGTAGCATTAGTAGTAGTAGTATCAGTAACAGTAAAAATGATTGGATATAGACATTATGTATCTAGAAGAAGAAACCAAACAAAAGAAAAAAAGATTTAAAATAATTCTGTCTTCTCACGAACAGGTGAGTACACTGTGTAGATATCTACTCAGTATGAATTCATGGCTGTAAAACGTGGCTTTTAACGATAGATGAAATTTGTAGTTTACCAATATTTAATAACAATTCACTTAAAAGCATCAATCGAGTATTTTTGATCATTCAATAAGTAGTGCCTAGATTAAAATCAAGGTATTAAGTAAAGATAACATGTCCGTTAATAAGATTATAAGCCTTCATCTACTAAGATGATGATTGACTCATGAAAATGATAGTCAGAAAGCAAGCAAATGTCAACCTGCACTCAGTTCTACTCTTCATATCAGTATGAACACATTAAATAAGCGACAAAACAAATTGGTACATACTGAATGTTAACTATTTAGTATGACAGTTGTAAAGATTAGTGAATGTTTACAAAGATCACGAACAAATCTAAGTTACATAACTATTGAAAATTCAAAAACACTGGACTGTGTCAGGTGTCCCGAAGGTAAATATGGCCGCGCAATACCACAGACTGACTACAATTAGACATACACCAATGAATAACAACTCGGTAGTTTAAAAGTTAAGAGTTTGTGAATACGAGATTGAAGGCCATGAGTTCGATCTCCAGTGCTATCGTTGTGGGCGTACATTGCTGAACATAATAAACGTTTCTATTCACTTGGCATGTGGAATTTATGAATAGTTGTAATTTTAATATTTACATATCTATACTTTCATTTCATTGAAATGGTGTTACATTGATTACATAACAAATATTATCTATCATACTAATAAATTGTTTATTTTTATAATTTCATCATAATCACATGAATGTATATATGTTCATATATGTGTGTATGTGTACGTGCATGCGTGCGTGCTTGATTGTGTGCATAGTCTAAGTGGATGTAGGAGGGTAGTCACAATAAAAATGTTTCCTTTTTTTTGCAATGAAAATTGATTTCTTAACATGATTTTTTTGTTTTGTTTCTTGGACTTTTCTATCTCTAATCATTTAATATTTCGTTTTACTTGTATAAAAAGATTTTATTGTTGTTGTTGTTGTGGTGGTGGTTGTGGTTATTGTTGTTGATGTTGATATAATGTGTGAATATATATGTGTATATAGAAGTGTAATAACTCATTGATGAATAACGGAAAACAAAACAGGTTTATATGAAACATTACTTTCTCGACATTGCCTTAAGTCACAAACTTTATAAGTAAAGGTGGATAGTGGAGAGCAGTGGAATCCAGGACACGCGTTTCGTCCTGTTTGGGACTCGTCATCACTTTATGTACTTATATACTGAGTCCCCATGGTCACTTGCTTGTATAATGAGGTGATGTTTTAATTCACATGGTATTGTTTGTGACTGCAACTGATCATTCTCTTATTGGCATATGTACATCCTGTGCGGACTGCTTCGATATTGCCTTAATTCACAAGCTTTATAAGCAAAGATAGACAGTAACTATCAGTGAAATTCAGGACTCATTTTCTTATCTGGGACTCGTCAGCTGGATGTACCTGTATCTCAGAATTGATTTTCAATCTGGGAATCGAACCCACTAACGTTCGCAGTACAGTCCTCATAAGATGCACTTATGACAATAAGAGAGAGACTAATCAATTACAGTCTTAAGTAACAATATGAAGATACAAGTAAGGAACATTGAATGAATTAAAAACTTCACCCCATGGCACAAGCAGGTGACTATCGGGACTCAGTAGCTAAGTGGATAACCCAATGGCGCTTGAAGCGAACGTTATTGGGTACGCGTTCTAGAGTGATCATTAACTCTGGGATGCAGGTACATCCAGATGACCAGTCCCAAATAGGACGAAACGCGTGTCCTGAATCCCATTGCTACCCACTATCGATTTCTGATTATTTAGAAATTAGTTTAATTACAATGTTTCTGAACGTTGAACATTGTATGTCACATTAGGTCTAAGTTTATTTGGAAGAAATTACTATTTAAAGATAGTTGGTTATGGAAAATTGTATTAACTAGAAAACAAAACTAAACACACTTATTCATCACTGGTTATAAATATTTTTGGAAAAAATATTGATTGCTTGGGTTGTTTTCGGCTACGTGTTATCAATCCGTAATGATGAGAAAGCAGTTGTTTGACCTCCCACTAGCCCAATTATCGACTAGTTCATTAATTCTTCCAATAAAACCAGTGACCTGTTTATCAATCTACAAACAAACCAATGAACAACAGTCACAAGATCTTGACGTTTATTTGTGCTTCAGCTACTTCCAACACAGTGATCAATCAAAAGATGAAGATAGAAAACGGACAAGTGCTCTATTGTGTTTATTTCCATTATGACACAAAACTCAAGTTTGAGATATCTGATCATATAGCAATACAGTGAGAAGATTACAATATGAACATAACTTAGATATAAGTGAAACAAAACAAGTGATGGTTAAACAAATCACAATCCTTCGTATGATAGTTTAAAAGGGTATACTGAAACTATCCAAAAATGCCATTTGTGACTAGTCCTAAACAAGTGTCTATTGTGCGTTATACTGTTTCTCTCAGGTCGTCAAGACGATCCCTCATGGAGTTTCCTTCTGCTGTAACTCAAGAACAAGCATTCTTCCACAATTAAGAGGGCCAGGATGTGATAATCATCCTTCTATCATTAATAGGAATCGATATCAACTCTTCCGCTACCAGTTTTATTGATTCACATTCACATAATACTGCTCAATGTTTCTTGACCGATATCAGTGGTAACATATTTAGTTAATCATAGAAATTAAGAGTTTCGTGTCTTTGATTTCTTTAGAATTAAAAACAAAACATTCATTCAATATTTCTTAGTTTTGATCATAGTTGATATTCCCTTGTGGTATAAATTACTTCTAAAATTGAAAACATTTCCACTTGCAAATAAGGCTTAAAAAATTTGATTTTGAAGACAATATCACTGGAAACTTATCATAATTGGGATTTAATTTGAAGAAAGAGTGTTGAGAATTTTTGAATAATCTCGTGAAATTCAAAGTTACATTTCTCAACCGTTGTTGCTACTTTGACGTGCTGGTCGAGCTTGCATATTGTGATGAACCAATCGAGCAACACTGGCTGGAAAAATCGTTTCTCAAGGTCCTACCATGCCAGACAGGTCGGTTGAAGAAGAGTAAGACTAAAAGCAGCAAACCCAAGGTCTAAGGACGAAGGTGTACTGTTAACTGTACAGTGCTGTGACGGCAGTAAGTTGTTGACTTCAGACAACCTGCATAACAGCGATGCTGCCTTCCCACAAGGAGGGGTGGGGTTAGAAAAAGTCCACCCTAGAAATGCTCAACTTGCCTTATTCCACGGATATCCGTCTCCGGTGGTAAAGTCTCAACAAGTACGAAGCTAACACTAAAACTACCCACAGAATGGTCGTGCATGACTGATTTTAAGCACTACAGTCACGATATCAGATCACTAAGACCACTTTTAATCCAATTCAGTTTCCAGGTACCTTCAGAAGAACCCTTCCATGGTATGGACAACCGGGAAGTGATAACCACCCTCATACCTCTAAGACGACTCAAGACCATTGTATTCATAGTCAGCCTTTCTCTTCAATTCTCATAATTCTTCTTAAAACGACTGAAAAGTCACATTTAACGAATTTAGTCTAGAAGTTTAAACGATATTTTAATAGGATATTATACAAAAGACTTCAAATGATAAATCTGCATATTTGAACTTGACAAAGTCTATTTTTATTCGAGTGATCATCCGATAAAAATACAATAAGACTTCAAATAGATCATATAGCTTAAAATTAAATACAGAAATTTGTACTGAATAGGTAAGTCACAATACATCATAATTATATTACATATTTACAAGCAACTTACATCCAGGATTTAGATATTTCCATTATTTACATAATCTATAAACTGACTTACAGAAAGTAGTTTTTTTACAAGTGACTGATCAATAAGTAATACTCAGTGTTATGTTTGTCTAGTACCATGGAAATGAATGAATTCTATTAGTTAAGTTAGGTTACTTGATTTATGGTATTATTTATTCGTCGAATTCTAACCTTAAGTATATCGAATGATTATCTGTGTTGACAAATCATACTCAGATAGTTAGGTATTTATCTGGAGTTTATTTTGAGAAGGTCACGATCATAGTATTGAATAATTAGACAACCGTTGGAAACTTGGGAGCAACCGACGTTTGTCTCAGTTTCATATAGAACTAATTAGAAGCGCACATCTACGACCCTGTCACTGTAGGTCAAATCCACAAACTCCACGCTACGAAGCCCTGTGTTCGACCTCCAAGGGTTAGTAGCCGCACACTATTTATGAGTCTTATACTGAAGCGAAGAGTTTTTTCATTGCTTCCCAGCTTTTTACGGTAAGTCTATAATGTGAAAAACAAAACTAAACCATTTCCACAAAACGCTCATATTAAAATGGAATGGCTTTCGAAGATAAAAGCTTTACATTTTTTTCAGTTCATAATGAGAAGTAGTTGTGTATTGAGCAAATTTCACAAGCAATCATCATACAGTAATTCACCAGTGTCTACCTTCAATTTGTTATGTTCTTATTTTTACCTGTGAAATATAGTCTAAGAAGTTAGAAAATGTGGTTAGATTGCACGATTTTGAATGAAGGTGTCTTTGAAACATTGCTTGCATAATGTGGAACGATTGAGTAGACAATGTTTAAATTAAACACATGATACTAGGTAACGATGTTAATCTTTATTTTATGAGTTCGTTAAAACGTCTACTATGTATGCTTAATCACTGTCTATCATGACAAGCGTAATAGGTTAGAAGAACGTTGAGGATGTTAAACAAAGACGACACTAATCCGTAAAATTATTAACTGTTGAACTAGACGATGTTGGTAAATGTACACTACTTGGTTTTGGTTCATTAAACTATCCTAACCAATAGTTCGCTCAAAATGGTCCATAATGTTACAGTTACATTTGTTCCTTTTCCATTATACTTTCGAGCATACCTTAAGCCCCATGTCTTTTCAAATGAATGAGGTATGACAACTTAGACTAAGGTACATTTGTGGGAAGCTCTAAGTTGATGATGTCTGTGTATTTATCTTCTGAGTAACACTTCGTCGATGGAATGCACTGTCATATTTTATTAAGAGATTACTTGAATTTTTTTAATAAATGGGATAGAATTTTTAAAAAAATTTGGCAAAACAATACATGATATTGAAATAGAGCAAGAACAAACATTGATGCAGAATAGTATGAATTCATATTATTTCGAGGTTTCTCGTCAGCTGCTTACAAGCCAAAATTGTGATAGAATTTTTACATTGAGATAGAGTGAACACAATTGACATAAATGAGTGTAAATAACTTGGTTACAATAATAACTATATATATATATATATATATATATATATATATATATATGCTAGAAACAGGTCAGAGGTCAAAAGAGGGGGGTTAATCCAGGGTGGGTGGTGTAATAATTTAGTGAAGTTCATAAATTGTGTGATAATTGTAGAGATTAATGGAATTAAATAATGATAAGGTAGATTACGTAATAATAATTAAATAGAATTTGGAAAGTTAAGATGATTTGAGAGGATCAGGTGGTGGAAGTGTGTGAATAAAATTTATTTTAAGAATTAGGCAATAGGGGGGAGTATAAAATATCTTAGAATAATAATAACCTTATCATTATTTAATTCCATTAATCTCTACAATTATCACACAATTTATGAACTTCACTAAAACAATTAGTCCCTTTGATAAATTTCGGAACTTCACTAAATTATTACACCACCCAACCTGGATTAACCCCCCTCTTTTGACCTCTGACCTGTTTCTAGCATATATATATATATATATATAGTTATTATTGTAACCAAGTTATTTACACTCATTTATGTCAATTGTGTTCACTCTATCTCAATGTAAAAATTCTATCACAATTTTGGTTTGTAAGCAGCTGACGACAAAACCTCGAAATAATATGAATTCATACTAATCTGCACCATTATTTGTTCTTGTTCTATTTAAATTTATTAAGGGAACCAATTGCATGAAATACATGATATAATAAACTTACACATAGGACAACGTTCTGGTGAAATTAATCGTAGACAAAATACATTTGTGATAGGAATACTTTGTAAATAAGATGCTACATGATAATGACGTCGACCATTAAATGAAATATCATCGATTTTTTCAATTTGATCACCAGGTTGTATTAAACCATGACATGCTTTAGATACTTTATCCATAAAACCTCCAGGTTTAATACGTTTTATAATGACTACACCACAACCATTATCTGTTAATGTTAAACCAAATGATTCACTTGTTTTACGTATTTTAATCTCTTTTGGTTGTCCTTTAATATGTGCAAATAAAAAATCATTTAAACCAATTTCATAACTTAATAATTTATCCATATCTAATTTATGTGTATTACGTGTACAATACATAATCTAAAATAGTAAGAATAGAAAAAAAGAAGAGATAAAGAAATGGGGGGGGAACAATGAATACATAGGTCATATTGGTGTGGTTAATTAAAAATTTACATCATTGTCTGTATTGAAATGTAACTCAGTTACTCTGAGTTTATGCTCAAAATCATACCGTTTATGTATAGGGGTTGATGGTATAACCTGGTCACTGAAAGTAAAGAAGGTGAAATAGATTTTTGAATCTGTGACCTGTTAGTTGGAAGCATATTCCTTACAAATTTACATCATATAATTAAATAAGTAATCTATCAGTAGACAAATGAACCGATCTATTTAATAAGAAAGCCACTAGTTACAAAAAAATGTAACTGGTTGAGAATCAGTTTGAGTCGTTGATTATTCATTTTCACAATACTCAACCGAAGTTATACATTGCTGATATTAAGGAATGTATTCGATTATTCTCTGTTAGGATAGTTGAATCATGTAAGGATCACTATGATAATACCTTTCGTTATACGTTTTAGTAAATTTCGATTATCTCTTGTATTGTAATCTTTTATGCTGACTAAATATGTTGTAGTGAACGAGAATGCGGATGGTAGAGAAAACCAACTCATTGTTTTGTACAGGTTACTTTGATAAAATACGAAAACTATACATTGAACACATTATTTACACATCATCTTTCAATTTTGCTGTACAATGCTTCATTATTCTTTCAATCCTGTTATTATCACAATTGCTCTTTACTTCCTTTCCTGTCCTCTTCAATCCAATCTTCTGTTGAAAGGCATTCTACTTCCAACTAATGCTACATACTATTTATATCTGTCAGCATAAATAGCATACACCACAATCTAATTAGTCAGTCCTGAACAGGAAGATATATGATGTCTGGATTTTACCATATTGCTACAATCCAAGTTTATTTAAACTTTACCACAGAGTTTCTCAGAATTCCTCTATTTCAAATTAAAGTAAAATCATGTTGAATTGATAATGTTTGCTTAATACAAAAACGAGACCTGTTAGACGATAATTTACCAAATACCTAAGAATAAAATCACTGAAAGAAGTTAGTTTGTCGACTACAACCTAGGATCAAGCACATATATGCATCGGTCTAAGTTGCCACACCTTACTAGCACAACAAGATGAACATCAATTTCATAGAAGGAGTTAATTCAATGAAAGCAATGTATTAAAGAAAGATTGTGTATAATACAGGAAGAAAGAATTAGAAAGAAAGATATGCGGCAATATTAATCTCACGATTTACGGGAAGACAAAGAGTGTATACATCTACACCATCATGATCGATTCTGAGCAATGTCACCCAGTCTCCAACCATTGGTTACGATAGTCACACGGACCCCTATCAAGTAGTGTGCATCGATCAACATGACTCAGATTAGAAGTTAGTAACTTGATTTTGACTGATGCGACTTGTTTGTTTGGTCTCCGCTAACTTTCTTCCAACCATCTTCAACACCAGATAGCATTGTGCGTCGTAGTAATCGGCATTCAGGTATAAGCAACACGCGACCCAATCATCTCAGTCGATGATTATTCACAACAATATCAACTGATTTGCCATCATTCCCTAATACCCTGCGTCTAACCTCGCTGAAAGAAAGGTACACACGGTAAAATATTAAGACGTATAGAATAACGTAAGCTTTTATAAGGGTATGTCGTGATCCACGTTATAGATAGTTTGATGAATGAATGAATTAGTTATTATTGGCGTACCGGTTTCTTTTATTGATGCCTAAATTTTATATCCATTCAAAAATAAGACATGTTAACACGAAGAAGTTTATGAAAACTGTGGAATCTTGATAGTTTAAATAATAAACTGAACCGCCATTGAAAACCTGAAAGTAATGATTGGTCGTTTCATCCTAGTAGGATACTCCTCAACATTGCGTCTCTACCTGCGATATCAGTAACTTATATCCACATAAGGAGTATATAACGATAGTCAGGAATATAATTTATTTCAGTAGAAGATCGAGAAGGAATGAACGAGAACGAAAAGCAATTAGTGTTAAAATGCAGGGACAATGAAGTCTGAGACGATGGATTGATATTTTGCAAATTAAGTAGTTACAGTATTGTTCTCAGATTTTAATGAGATATTCTATAATTTCGTTTTCAAATACATTCGATTATTCCCCATTCGGATTCTTTGTTCAATACATTACCTATTTTCATTTCATCTCAGTACTCATCGACAGAGTTGAACATGAGAAACAACGTTTAGGTTAATTTAATTGATTGTTAGTTTTTTTCAAATTTTACACTTGATCTTTATCTTGCCTAATTAGGTGATAGCTTTTCTTTTTGTTTTTGATTGAGATCATGAACCAATTGATGTTAGACCACCGTTGGAAACCTGGAAGCACTGAACGCCCGTTACTTCCTATTGTGGGATTCCTCAACAGTGCGCATCCACGATCCCGTTCTCGGGATTCGAACCCAGGGCCTTCAGTCTCGCGCGCAAATACTTAACCTACTGGACCACTGAGCCGGCATACAATGGTGTTAGTGTCTAACATCAACCAATTCACAAAATTGCACTACCATCTCTCATCGTACCGAGGTAGATACCTGTCTTTACCCGACAGGGACTGGTTTCATTGGTCACGGCTTTTCAACAGAACTCCGAGAATTTCCTCACTAAGCTAGTCACTAGTGAGCATAAGTTAAACACCAATATAGGAGTTGTGAAGATTCTTAAGTTTTTAAAAGAAATCATGAATCTTATTGTATCTACATTATAGAATTATAATCAGAAATTGAATTCAATTCTATTAATACATGTATATGAATAGGTTATAATGAAATTGAGAATGATTATTTCATTTCATTGTACAACTCATCAGTTGATTAGAATTGAATCTTAAACCGATTAGATCACTATGACAACCATTGGTTCATTGAGTTTTTTTTCTTCTTAGAGATGAAAAAAAATCTTTCTTATCAATGGAACTTTTGTTATTACTGATTTCATAAATTCACTATCAATTTACATAATTTATTCATTAAAATAAACCAAAAACTTTTTCTTCATTTTAATTTATTACTTATATGTATACTGAAATTATAATGAATGATTCATATTGAATTTTAAACAGAATGAAAACGTATATAGGTGATTATAAAATGGAATTAAGTTAACATTAAGGAAGCATTGGACAACTAATCTATCAATAATATTGATTATTTAGTTATGGACAATCATCGTTTGTAAATCTTCATCGACTAAGATGATTGGGTCATGTATTATGTATTCCTGAACACTGATTACCACGACACACAATGCTATCTGGTGTTGGAGATGGTTGGAAGAAAGGTAGCGGAGGCCAAACAAAAAAGTCACATCAGTCAAAATCAAGTTACTAACTTCTAATCTGAGTCATGTTGATCGATGCACACTACTTGGTAGGGGTCCGTGTAATTATCGTAACCAATGGTTGGAGACTGAGTGACATTGCTCAGAATCGATCATGATGGTGTAGATGTATACACTCTTTGTCTTCCTGTAAATCGTGAGATTAAAATTGCTTTACACCGTTTTTTTTAATTTTTTCTTCCTTTATTATACACAATCTTTCTTTAATACATTACTTTCATTGAGTTAACTCCTTCTATGAAATTGATGTTCATCTTGTTGTGTTGATTTTGTGTGGCAACTTAGACCGATGCGTACATGTGCCTGATCCTACGATGTAGCTGACTGACTGGCTGGCCGATTTACCGGTGGTTTACGACAGGGTCCTTGGGTCTCATGGAAAGGGCTTAACTCTAAAACTATTCCATTGGTATCTACTAGTTTATATTTTAAAGTTCAGCAAGTTTGTGATATATTGCAACCATTATCATTTGATACTATGCAGTGAATGCTTTCTTCATGTCAGTTTTGAGATTTCTAGCAGCTTAAACTGACAACCCAGCCGGGGATCAAACCATGGACTTTCTAATTTCACAAAGAACGCCTTAATGTTACAACCAATCAGTCGACATCCGGTTGTGCAGTTTCAACTTCATTTAGTTTACAAGGTAACAACCTTCTAATCCCCCTCGTAAAAAAATGTTTTTCTTCACTCTCAACATATCTAATCTCAATTAAGCATTGAAACTTTTGAAATACTTTGAAGTACATCACCACTGAGTTGGTCATCATAGTTTCATTGAAGGCATTTCTTGAACATTGACTTAACTTATAGGTTTACAAATTGTACGAGACAGGAAACTGTATAGATGACAGTTTACACACTCATGTGACAATAATAAACTATAATTGTTTGCTTTTGTTACAAGAGTTCCATTCTTACCGACATCACATGGTATCCATTTTGTACATGCAACCTTTGTTCTAGGTCACTCTGTTTATATGTATGTATATAGATTATTTTATAACCAAGTGGTTCTATCACAATAACAACGAAAGATGAAAATAACGAGCAAATGAATTATAAACAGATCGATATAATTAAGTGGAAACGATCATGAAAATGATCCATCATTAATATTCTGTTTCAGAAATGTAATATGTAAATTGTTTTTTTAATGGAATATTAGAACTCTATGTTCAAGAGTAGATGAAGTTTAAATAAATTTACACTATTGTGAACGATTCTGATCAATGTTTAAAAAATGTCTCCAGTCACTGATTGCAGTTATTATATGGATTTTAACAAGATGATTTGCTTCTGTCAATGTAGATCAAATCAAAAGTAAATGATCACATGAATTAATTCCATATCTTGGTTTGGTTGCATATAGATTTTGACCGACCTACTTCTGAGTAAACAATCATTGCCCATTAAAATAGGCGAGAGTTGTATATCGATGGAGTTTTGTTCTCTGGGCTGGATGGACGAGCAATATGTTGATAGAATAAGGGCTGTATGTATAAGTACATCAACAAAATAGACAATTGGTTTATAATGGGATAGGTTGCATGATAATAAATTTGTAGTACATCTATTTCTCAATGTGTAATACTTGTGCGATATATTTTCATTCATCTAGCGAGTGGATGCCCCCAGATAACCTGGTACGGCCAAAGGTGGTGAGAGTCCGCTTTCCTTTTCCAAATGCTCTCACATGATCACGCGTATACAACAACCATCACAACCAGTGGTGCATATGGGCTCCAGGATCCTAAGAGAACAAATGGTGTGTAAACCTATTGTTGATGACCAGCTACCATGAGACTACATGTCCTGACGTCGCTCCACTGCCTTGTGGATCAGACCTTTAGGTTTAAAGCTCTAGGCGTCGCCCTCTAAGAAAAACACCTGCATCGGTTTGGGCATCTGGACAATATCACAGTCCACACACAAATCGAGTGACTCGTTTGGTGCATATGTATTCGGTGCCTCCTTGTACCAATATTCGTGTGTTCATATAAATAGGAGGATATCTTTTGCTTAGGTCTTCATTTCAAGATCTAATTTCCATCCGACCTGTTCTTCCCACACAAAAAGTGGAGATGAGCTACATATATTTAATTTATATAATTAATATATATAATTACGCTAATAATATCTAGAAATAAGAAAAGGCATCGAAGAAAATTCAGTCATACACATTCATCGTCTATGATATTGACAGGTAATAAAATTAATCTGCCATCATGGTATGAACCATGTAAAATCTAATTAATAATCTGAATCATGTCACAAAAGAAAAACGTTATCTCAATATTAAAGAGGAAGAATGTATTTGCAAAATCTCAGCGAAAGAATTTGAAGCAAATCTAACGTTTCTCCTGGCAATCTGATCCAAGCTTTATCAAGGAAATATAGAATATGTATGGGTTGAAACAGAAGGGACTCGTCTATTATTTAATATATTGTTGCATCTCATAAAATATCGTTAAAATATCCCTTTTGACGATAGCCTCTAAGGAACAACCAAGAGAATATAAATCTAAACAAACTTCACGGTCGCCAAAAATTGGTCTTTTTTGAGGATAAAAGTCGTCGTTGAAGAAAAATGTTTACTAATTAAGTGCAAATCATATTCAAACATATTATAGTTAAACAGAAAATTACTTAATTTAAACCTCAACATTATTATTGAATCCTACTAATATCTAATTTTTCTACAAACATATCATCAGTGTGTCATTGCTCAAAAGCAATAACCAATGTTGTATCAAAAGAGAATAAGAAGGGTTTGAGGTAGGTGAAAGTTACTTCTTATGCCTGCAATATGCTTGCTTGGACAGATCACTTCTACTCATATTGAATTTTTTGGCTCAATCACCGACTAAATGAGTTGGTTTACATTAATACAATGACAAGAGAAGCCATCATGACGTTCAAGAATATATCTTGTAAAACTAAAAAGAATGGTTTGATGGAACACAACAAAACTGGACCAAAATAATATAAATATGTCACTCATTTTTATGTCATCACATACATAACTAAATACTGAACTGGATTTAGGATTGAAAGAACTTGTTACATGGTACCAAACAGAGATTTGAGATGTCATGAAAATCTTAATTAGAAAATGTATTTTATTAGAAAGCAAGTCAAATATATGATGCTTGATTCAGTCTATTAGAAAAATGTTAAATTGTCACAGAAGCTGTTCGTTCACAAACTAAGCGACCGTGAAATTACTTAACTAAAAGACGAGTGATATAAAGTAAAACCTTTAGATGAAACTCTTTCAATAAAAACACAAATAGTGATTAAACACACCTTGTATTGTGAAGAGGAGGTATTGTTGATGATGTTCACTTGTGAAAAACACCCTACTACTGCAAAATCTACGAACATGCGATAACACTGCTTCGCCCCCGAACCTTACATCTACAATTTACTTTCTCACTACCATCCAGTTGATCTCCCTGGTGGGGAAGGAATTTGGGCGATAAGTGTTTCAGTGAACATACCTTTGTTGCGTAATCACTTCAATAACTTATAACCGCTAGCTGGCCTCATTATTTCCATCGTCTTCGTCTATTTGAATACAGACGTTATCAAGCCAAATACTTTACAACTGTTGTTATTCATAACTAGTCGAGGATGAAAGAAAGGGTGAGATAAATAACAGCATTTATTGACCAAAACACAAGTGCTTTTTTTCGTGTACAGTTACCCACCTTAAAATATGTTTGCATGTCGTTTCCAAAAAGGTATTAACATCGGCTACATTAAAATTCATGCTATCATTTCACATTCGCATGAAAATATGACATAGTCTCTCATATGATAGTTACAAAATACATCATTTGACGTATTATTAAGAAATATGCTTGAATAATCGGAAAAGGGATATTCTAAGGCATTTGTATGATGAAACCATACATATCGAGAAGGAAAGTAGCTTATAACTATTTAAAAACGGCAGAAAGAAATCATAAACGGAAACAAATACAGGTGAAATAATTCAACTTTACCTGAGATGGATTTATATCAAAACACTCCGATATTTTCGTGTGGAGCTGACGGACTGTTTTAAAACCATGTATAATTCCGGTAGGGCTTCCATGGGCAAGTTGACAGTAAAAATGGTAATCTGGAAGTAGTTCGCATTCTGGTATTTTTTGGTTAAATGTATTGGAACAATTAGGATCATTCCTTTCAGAACATCTGACTCCACTCGACATCATGTTCCGAAGAACAAAATGCCGCGTAAACAAAAACAAACTGGTTATGTCCAATAGCGAAAAATATAATAAACTCGTGACGAGCTCAAGTACGTCAAATAGTTCCTTTGAGCTGAAGTCGCAAAAATTTCTAAAGAAACGCTAGAAGCTTTGAAGAAAACTAACTCATTCATTATTCATTTTGAGTAAATCTATTTTTAGTAATATCTGTTTGAGTGTCATCCCGTACTTTGGACAAATTGTCCAGTTCCAAATGGTCCTGTGAATATGTTGGACTATGAACAGAATCCACACTTTTAGGAAGTTCAGGAAAAGGAGAAGCTCACATCATGTTGTCTATAGGCATGAGAGTTGGGGTTAGTGTCCCCATCCCGTAGAAAACGAACTCGCTAAAAAAAACGCTAACCAGAAAAAATAATTCAAACCATTTTAACTCTGCCTTGGGAGTCAGAATGTCTTCAGTTAGAAGAATTATGACGCTTCATGGTGAAAGCCGAGTTCCTTCGGAAGCCACGAGGCCGATGCCCCTTCTAACAACCAGAGCAAAAATTTTTATAGGTACATGGAACGTCCGAACAATGTGGGAAACCGGGAAGACCAGTCAAATATCAGTGGAAATGAGGAGATACAACTTAGCAGTACTGGGAATCAGCGAAACCCACTGGACCCAAGCTGGACAGAAAAGGCTAGCTACAGGAGAGATGCTGCTATACTCCGGTCACGAAGAGGACAATGCTCCACACACTCAGGGAGTCGCTCTTACGCTGTCCAAAGTAGCTCGAAATGCACTTGTAGGATGGGAATCTCACGGATCCAGAATCATCAAAGCATCATTCAAAACAAAGAAGGATGGGATCACAATGAATATTATCCAATGTTATGCACCCACCAATGATAGCAACGACGACATTAAAGATCAATTCTACGAGCGGCTGCAGTCAATCATAGAGAAATGCTCAAGAAACGACCTCACCATTCTGATGGGAGATCTAAATGCCAAGGTCGGAATAGACAACACTGGATATGAAGATATTATGGGACGACATGGACTGGGAGAGAGGAACGAAAATGGAGAAAGATTTGCAAATTTGTGTGCATTCAACAAAATAGTCATAGGAGGCACAATATTTCCACACAAACGTATACACAAGGCTACATGGATCTCACCGGACCACACTACAGAGAACCAGATAGACCATATTTGCATCAACAAAAAATTCCGAAGGACAATGGAAGATGTGAGAACCAGGAGAGGAGCTGACGTAGCTTCAGATCACCACCTAGTTGTAGCCAATTTAAAACTGAAGCTAAAAAAGTACTGGACAAGTGGACAAACAGCACTACAAAGGTTCAATACAGCCTTCCTTCGAGATACTGACAAACTCAATGAATTCAAGATAGCTCTCAACAACAGGTTCCAAGCCCTTCAAGATCTACTGAAGGAAGAAGAAACTACCATGGAGGACAACTGGAAAGGCATCAAAGAAACATTGACTTCAACGTGTCAAGAGGTTCTGGGCCTAAAGAAACACCATCATAAGGAATGGATCTCTATAGAAACACTGGACAAGATCAAAGAAAGGAAGAACAAGAAGACAGCAATTAACAACAGCCGAACACGAGCAGAGAAATTCCAAGCACAAGCTGGATACATAGAAGCAAACAAGCAAGTGAAGAGGAGCATTGGAGCCGACAGGAAGAAATACGTGGAAGAATTAGCAACGACGGCAGAAAAAGCTGCTAGAGAAGGAAATATGAAACAGCTCTACGATACAACGAAGAAACTATCAGGAAAATACAGTAAACCAGAGAGGCCGGTCAAAGACAAAGAAGGCAAGCCAATCACTGAAATTCAACAACAGCGAAACAGATGGGTAGAATACTTCGAGGAACTCCTGAATAGGCCGGCTCCAATGAATCCACCGAACATCGAAGCAGCACACACAGATCTTCCTATAGATGTCAACCCGTCAGACAAATCAAGAACGGGAAAGCAGCAGGACCCGACAACATACCAGCTGAAGCACTGAAATCAGACATCGAAACAACCACAAGCATGCTTTATCTTCTATTCAAAAAGATTTGGGAGGAGGAACAAGTGCCGATGGACTGGAAAGAAGGACACCTCTTCAAGATCCCAAAGAAAGGAGATCTGAGCAATTGTGAAAACTACAAAGGCGTTACACTACTGTCAATACCAGGGAAAGTCTTCAACAAAGTGTTGCTTAACCGGATGAAGGATGCACTAGACACCCAACTTCGAGATCAACAAGCTGGATTCCGTAAGTATAGATCGTGCTCAGACCAAATTGCAACACTACGGATTATCGTCGAACAATCAGTTGAGTGGAACTCGTCACTATACATCAACTTCATTGATTATGAAAAGGCGTTTGACATTGTAGATTGGAGGACATTATGGAAACTTCTTCGACACTACGGAGTTCCTGAACAGATTGACAATATTATCCGGAACTCATACGATGGACTACATTGCAAATTAGTGGATGGTGGACAGCTGACAGATGCATTCCAAGTAAGGGTCGGAGTCAGATAATGCTGTTTACTCTCTCGCTTCCTCTTTCTTCTGGTGGTCGACTGGATTATGAAGACCTCGACATCTGAGGGAAAACATGGAATACAATGGACAGCTCAGAATCAATTAGACGATTTGGACTTCGCAGATGACCTAGCCCTCCTATCACGTACACACGAACAGATGCAGATGAAGACAGCCAGTGTAGCAGCAGTCTCTGCATCAGTAGGCCTCAGTATACACAAAGGGAAAACCAAGGTCCTCAAATTCAAAGCGGAAAACAGCAATCCAATCACTCTTGATGGCGAAACTCTGGAAGATGTCGAGTCCTTCACATACCTAGGAAGCATCATCGATGAACAAGGAGGTTCAGATGCAGACGTAAAGGCGAGGATTGGCAAAGCAAGGGCCGCATTCCTACAATTGAAGAACATATGGAATTCAAAACAACTTTCAACCAATATCAAAGTGAGAATCTTCAATACGAACGTCAAGGCAGTTCTACTGTATGGAGCTGAAACTTGGAGAACTACAACAACCACAATCAAGAAAGTACAAGTATTTATAAATAGCTGTCTACGCAAGATACTCAACATCCATTGGCCGGATACTATCAGCAATAGCCTTCTGTAGGAGAGAACAAACCAACTTCCAGCTGAAGAAATTAGGAAAAGACGATGGAAATGGATAGGACATACATTACGCAAATCGTCAATCTGCATCAAGAGGCAAGCCCTAACTTAGAATCCTGAAGGGAAGCGAAAAAGAGGAAGGCCAAAGAACACATTGCGTCGGATAATAGAAGCAGATATAAAAAGGATGAATTACAACTGGTCGGAGCTAGAAAGGATTGCCCAGGACAGGGTTGGATGGAGAATGCTGATGAGCGGCCTATGCTCCTTCACGAAGAGTAACAGGAGTAAGTTTGTTGTAAATTTGCTTGATGTGAATTCCTTTTCATCAACTCTCAGCCTGTGTTGTGTAGTTTTTGACTTTCATATGCCCTATTAATAGGTAAAGTGACGTGATTGTTAACACATTTTGATAATCTTGATAAAAATACTATACTTCTCCTGGCTTTTGTGTTGTATACGTAGTGGAATCTGTACTGATTATACATCTTTGCGTGCATCGATTGTGCGTATATGTCGCTTGTCATTGAAGTATGTAATAACTTATCAAATTTACATTTATTTACGCCATTCTCTGTTTCATTCTACTGACCGTGGCGGGTGAACGAAGAGTAACATTTTGGTTTGCATATTTTAGACTTGTGTAACCTTAAATTTTTGTTGAACGTTTATTCATCCTACTGACGCTAAGTATAAAAAAGATTTTTCGACTAATCTAACTCTATACGCTTAGATTGTTCGAAAAGTACGCCAAGTAATATTTTTCATTGATTATCTCCTTTTCTCACTATTCGTTATATGTACATATTAGAGTACATTCTTTGTTTTTTTATGTATACGTTGCGATTTGCTGTTACTTATAATTTTATTTTATTTCAGTCCTAGGTTTGAGTCACTACACATTCTAAACCTTGCTTTGTATACGTCAGAATTAAGACTTTTACTAGACGGCTACTTAATTTTGAAGCACAATACCTAATTCATTGCCTTAATCGTTAGTATCCTTAATTCTCATAGGAGGTAGTTTGTCCTCTTACTTACAGTATATGACTTAATTGCATTCGCCTTCGCTCTCCTTGATCAAGTTTTCACGATGCGATATACTTTGTCAGGCGAGGTAAGTGAAGTGATATTTATGCTGTTTCCTATTGTAACTCATTTTCAAGTAAGTCTCATTACAACATTTTATTTAGAAATTTATTGTCATGGTTGAAAATTTCAGATTTGTTATGCTTTTATGGTTCATTTCAGTAGCCAGACTATAATTTATGCATGGTATTTTAGCAGCACTGAAGTTACTCAGTGAAACGTTATTCACTTTCCAAAGTAAAAATATGTTTATAAATCAATATGAGCAGTTATAATTAGGACTGGAGTTAGATTCTTCATCATGAACACTTTACATTTTATTGTCTGTTAGCGCCCTTGGGACTTCCTATTTACATCTAAGACTATCCACGTTTGTTAACATTGAATACAGCACTGTGCGAATCTGAAATCCGCATATATAAAGAATGAATAGATGAATCTGATAGGTTGAAGCGAAGTTCTCGATGAAAATTACATTCCTGTGCACAACATTCACCCATGAGATAAAAATAAAAATGTTAAGTGTTGCAGCCAGTCAGAGTTTACGAGAAACCGTCAGACTTAGAAGAAATCTATTGAATGTTTTTGTAACCCTTTGATTTCAATCACTGATAGATGTCACTGCTGTTTCCACAGCTCTTTGTACACCTTCACGAGCAACATCTGGGCCAGACTCGTTTTCAAAAGTACCTAAATGTGACCACAGTTGTTGCTGGGATCTACGTTCGGCATTTTTGGGTTTTGACCTTTTCCAACCTCACCCCTCCTTGTAAGAAGGA